ACATTAATGGTGTTTCCTGCCAGAAGCACTGCAGAAAGATATCTCTTCTGACACCAACATAGTTCTGCTTTCACTGTTGCAGGGTATTTACACAGCCACAGTAAACACAGAGCAAGCCAATTCGGTGAAGCTTAGAAATGGTTGATTTGCATTCTAGCTAAAAGTCAGAGATCATATGAACAGCAGTTCTCTGAGAATAGAGTGCTAATTCAAATATTTCAAAACCTCATTTTGATAAGTGTCATTCAGAAGATTTGTGCAGAAAGCTTTACTAAGATAAATCTTGAAGATAACATTATTGTTGTTGCCTCTGATGTATGCAGGAGTTGATAACAAGCTGATTTCCTTTTTCTGATGGATGATTACACACAACAGATGTTTTAATTTGATTATATCTATGAGATAAGCATAAATGCTGTGTTAAGTCCAAACATTTTTTATAAGTTTTGAAAAACATTTTCCAATGAATGTAACCTTTTGTAAATGTCCTTGCTGGAGGGTGTGTGTGTTCTCATAATGGTGCAAATTATCAATAACAAGTTGAAACCAGTGATTATACAAAATGAGAGAACAGCGTTTAACAGTAGCTGTAATTCTGTGTTCTATGATAACCTAAATTAAAAGAGAAATATTATTCAAATGGTGATACAGAGCACAACAGTTTCACACTGCTCCAAAGAGGACAATGTATTCTTCAGCCAATGATACACAAGACAGGCAAAGCTTTTTTACAAGGATGCTGAAAGGCTAATGCTCCATGCCAAATACCCTCAATTTGAAAATTAGCAGGCAAATGTCAGTTTTGTGAACAGAGTGCTGCAGTGAATGGAGGTTTTGAGTTTCAAATAATACAGGCTTACAAAATTTGACTTTGATTTGAACTGAAATGCCAAAATTTCTCTGAAAAATAAACTTCTTGCCTAACTGTAGTGAAATCAGTGTCAGATATTGTTCCCATGTTCTTTTTTCATATGTAACATGGAGAGAACAAAAAAAAAAAATCAAAACTAATAGCCTCCTTCAAAACAAAAGCCAATCTATATCACTATGAAAACATCAAAATGGGGCATGCCAGTTTTTCAAGCAGACTTGCTATTTTTGTTTTGAAAGTAGTTATAACAAAATTTGTCCAGAGTCATCAATGTTTTTACTTGGGCCAAGCTACTTCTTCTAGTTACTTCATAAATCGTTTCAGTTAGGCAATATCAGCATACTGTGTACCTGGTTGCCTCTTGTCATTCCAAACAAAAATCACAGGCATTAACTCCAATGACTGCCAATGGGTAAAGCATCATGTAGCTTACTTTATGTGATGTATACAATTCAAAGAGCATTTCCTTTAGGATTTATGTCATCTAACATCAGATACCTACCAAGTAGATGTCTGGGCTAATTATGCTCCCTATCATCAGCTCTTTGTGTTTAGAAGGTTTTTAAAATATCTAGATTCCTTTCTCTCCTTGGATGATCAAGGGAATGTGGGTGACCTAATAGCCTGCTGCCACCAAAACGGCAGTTCTGTTCATCCAGCATTTGTCCTCCATCCTTTGGTTCTTGAACCTGATCTGGGACTATCCCATCACAGTGAAACAAACAGGACTGCTCCATCAGATGGTGAGAAAGGCGATAGATTCTCTCAGCCATCTCCTGGAACTTCAGACCAAGGCTAAATTTTAGGCAGCTAAAGTAAGTTGAGATGTCTCACCCCACACCACATATATCAGCTCTACACAGGCATGAGTATTATATTGTGTTAGTGCAACTGTATAGGGCTTACTTAATTCTGCATCTGGGAACTATCTTGTTCTGGAATTGTTACATAAAGCAACACTGGAGTTAATAAACTAATCGAAATAATTGCTTTATTGTGGACATCAGCAGCTTGTGGCTCTGAGCAGAATGGTTTTGAGTGTATGTTAAGTACAGTGAAACAACAGCGTTTTTGTAACAATGAATGTTTTGTAGAAGCTTGAAAGTGTTTTTCTACAAGGATAATGCTGTAGTTCATGTGGGATCTTGACAGAAATAAGATACTGAAAGCTAGAAAATAGTTAGAATAACAAAGAGAGATCATTTATACTCGGTAGTTTTATGGACTGTTTTAAAAGCTGTACTTAAAACCTGCAGCAAGGAGCAGTTGGCATGTTTTCACTAGGAGACCCTGAGATAGAAGAGGTACTAAATTGTTTGCGTTCTCAGTATATATTTCCAAGGCTTAGAAAGAAAACACAATATTCAGTGCTTTGATATTTTGCCTTTTCCAATGAGGAACTGAAAATAGCTGTCTTCCCTTACCCTGTCAGGCTGGAGATTATTATTTACACCATTAATCTCCCACTTTTGAAGAGGACTCTTCCTCTACCTCAGTCAGGCTGAGGTCAAATACTCACAGTTTCAATTTAGAAGAAACTGCTATCTGAAAACAGGGAACTGGGAGCTATGAACAGGGAAATGGAAAGAAATTACCAGCTTGGTCTTGTTTCATATATTTTGGTTGTCCAGGGAATCCTGATTAAACTGCATTTGGGCCCTAAAAGGGAGGCTTGTAGTACTCAAAAAGGCAAAATATGTGTTTTCACTAATGAGCCTGTCTGGGATTAATCTGTGACCCAAAGTTGGCTTTACTTTGACTTCCACACAGGCTATTGGTGACAAAGATACACTACCCTTCCCCTGAGGATATCCAGGTAAGATTTCCTTCCACACAAAAACATTCTAGTAACATCTCTCACTGGGGTTCTCTGAACACTCAAAGCTCAGCTGTAGCACAATCCTCACTGCATGATGATCTGTAAAAATAAAGGCAGTTCTTACATGAAAATATCAAATTCCTGAAGTCTACTTGTAGTAGACTCCTCACTTGCTGGGTAACAGGTGCTGTATCACCTCATGTGAGAGAAGGGGCAAGGATGTGTGGCTGCACTCGAGGATTTGAGACTATTGGAAACCTGAGTACAGTCCTTCTCAAAGGCAACATCTCCTGCCAGTCTCCATCACTTACTGCCAGACCCTGGATGAGAGAGACTGGGCAGAATATGCCTATATTGGAAAAGAGCCACAGCACTCATGTGAGGGAGAGAGATGCGAGTGAGACAGTGTCAGGCTTGCCAAGTCACGCCTGGATTGTGACAGGTTTGAACAGTAATATTAAATCTGTACTTGTTTGCTTTTAAACTTCTTTTTCATCTTGGAAGGTAATCACCAGAAACTAATAGGAGAGTTCAGCACACACAGCCAACTTTCTAAGCAAACAGCAACTCTTTGGCACCTGCAACTTGACAGCTCTGAGGAGAGAGCAGTGTACAGCACACAGTATATACTTGTGGGAGTTGAGAAATGCTTTTGTTTAAGTGGATACTGCAAACACAGCCACCTTCTAGCACAGAGCTGGTGCACAGGAACTGATAAGAACACTCCAGTCTATGCTCAAAGGAGAGTCTGCAACTTTTCTTACCTCTGGAGGGTGGTGACCACCACATGTTTGAGTGAATCTTGACTATATTAAAAGAGGGTGAGAGAGAGGAAAATGCTCTTGGAGAGAGGTTTATGAGAGTTTGTACAGTAAACTGAGACTTCATGGTGAAAATATGCATTTAGGGAGTGTTTAAAACTAAATTTACATAAAAGCACAATTATTTTTTTTAATGTCTGTTATAGGCCAATTAAATTCTTTATGCAAACATTTCCAAATTCAAACAGAGGTGATCTGGGACATTCAGAGCATGAATTACATATATTGCCCTGAGGGCTTAGCCCTCCTTCTGAAATACCCAGATCTGTATCTCTAACTAATGTTGTAACTGAGACAAAAGCAAATCAACAGCGTTGGAACAATCGTCCTCAAATTATCCCCATGTGCATCAGTTTACCTGTCAATCAATGCCCAGCCATTTAAATCAGAGAGGAAGGAAGACTGTGAGCTGAAAATGGGTCTCAATACAACTGGTGGCTATGTAGTAACTGGATTTATACTGGCAAAGAGCTCAAGCCTTATTCAGGTTCAAAACTGAATGATTCTTACAATCTCTAACAGGGCCATGAAAAGCTGGCATCACCAGTGTGCTCCTACTCTCTGAATCCTGGGTGCAACTTCCCCTTGTAGAGAAGACAAAATCTCTGGTAGAAGTTCCTTTGGAGAGGGATGGAGACATTTGTGTCACATGCACAGCATTTGAGGTAAAGTTGTGCACAACCAGCCTATCTGGGAGCAAAACAAGCAGCAGGTGGCAAGTTGTTCCAGTTAGCTTTAACACCTGCAAGCTGAGTGCCCAGTTAGTCTGTGTGAATATTTCCTGCTGTTAGCCCGACTTCAACCTTCCCTGCTCCCTGCTTTAGTTCATCTGCAGGCTACGTCCTTCTTTCCGATACCGCTTCTGCAGAGGAGGAAACAGGCTGCTGCAGCAGCATCGCTAAGGTCAGGGGTACGGATGCGGGGAGGAGCTCTGCAAAGTCCCTATGTCCCAAATGACTCCACTGGGTCCTTTTCAAATCGCAGGGAGGGAGCAGTAGCCCTCCGAGCTGGCGGTTTCCTGTCGACCTTGAGGCTCCCCGCACGGCACGGCGCAGCTCCGGGCGGGTGCCCGGGCCCGGTCCCCGCCTCGGAGGGAGGCAGGCGCAGCCATCCGGGCTGCACGTCGGGGCTGGCCCCGGCGCGCTCGTGGTGGGAGAGCCAGACCTGAGAGGGGCTGGCCTCTGGCAGATGATTGACACCAAACTGGGTGAGGTTTCATGTTAAAAGGAAAAAAAAAAAAAAGAGAAAAAGGAAAGAAAAAGGGCGAGAGCAGGGGAGGGGGTGACTGTGGGAAGGGGGAGAAGGAACTACTGTAAGAGTAAGAAAGTCCTGCCCAGCTGTTTGCGAAGTTTAAGATTTCCTGTTTCCCCTGCAGCGCCGAAGTGAAGTTTCAGTGAGTCACCCGCGGTCCCGAGCAGCGGAGCGGCGCAGTCCCGCTCCCCGCCACCGCCGCCGCGGCCTCCCCGCCGCCCCCGCGCCCCGCCCGCGGCTCGCCGGCCGCGCCGATCCGGCTCCGCGATGACTCCCCGGCTGCCGAGGAGCCTGCGGCGGCTGCTGCTGCTCCTTTCCCTCTGGGCACTCATGGGCAGCTCGCTCCCCGCTCTGCTCCGGGGTAAGTGCGCGCCGGCCCGCGCTGCCGCTTGACAGCTGCCGGGGCCGGGGCGGGAGGGGACGGGGGCAGGCAGCGAGGGACAGGCGTCCGCGGCGGGAGGCGGGGGACACGGTTGCTAAGAAAGTTTTGAGGCTGGAAACATTTCGGGAGAGGGTGACCGTGTTTGTTGATGGCTCTGCGGGAGAGTAAGCGGGGAAGAAAGGACTGGGAGTCTCGGGGTTTCGCGGCCAAAGCTGAGGTCCGTCCGTGGAGGGAATAGCGGGGAGAAAGGAGCGGATTTGGCAGGAAATCAGCCGAGTCTGCTCGGGCCGGAGGAGCCCGGAGAGGGCATGTAGGGGCTGCCTGCAGTGGCCGGGGGAAGGGCTGCAGGGCCTGCCCGCAGCTGATGCGGCGGCTCCCGCACCTGGTGCGGCCCCGTGTGCAGGGCCGGGCCGGGGCGCGGGCCGGGGGAGCCGCGGCGCCTTGGCAGCGCCCTCCGGGCCGGCCCCGCCGCTCGGCCGGGCACCGAGTGTGTGTGTGCTGCACCGCCGCTCGGCCGGGCACCGGGTGTGTGTGCTGCACCGCCGCTCGGCCGGGCACCGGGTGTGTGTGTGCTGCACCGCCGCTCGGCCGGGCACCGGGTGTGTGTGTGCTGCACCGCCGCTCGGCCGGGCACCGGGTGTGTGTGTGCTGCACAGCCCCGGCCACACGGCCGGAGTGCCTTGGGTGCTCTCAGAGGAGGGCCTGTGCGTGGCCACAGAGCCCGCTGCTGCGCGGGTCTGCACTTGGTTACCAACACTTGGGTTTCGTGAGAGTTTCTGGTGAGAGCGAAGTCCAGCCGTGGCTGTGAGCAGTTGGACTTCAAAACGTTCATTTCTCCGGCACTGACTGTGCACGTTGTTTGGCTCACTTTAAAAGTGACACTTTATAATCCTTACCCTGCTTCTACCAAGACATCCTTAGATAGGTTTTTAGGGTATGCAACTTGCAGTCTTCTTCATATCATAATTTATAATATACTATGAGCTTAAAAGTTTTGCTGCAAAAACAAGATTCCTGCCCTGAGCAGCCTTCAGTCTCTGTCCCCCTACCAGTAGTTACCCACGTCTGTGAATTAACATCTGTAAAATCAAGGTTAGGCCCTAAATCACATTGCAGAACAAGTGGTGAACCTAAAAGGAGAACCAAGAGATTGCAGCAAACTGCATCTGAAACACTGGTGAAGAATTAAGAAGCTTTCTAAGATGTCTTGTAATGGCACATCTGGAGTTAGTCTTCAGGTAAGGTGTGCACACCTGGGCTTCTACAAACTTTGCCCTGGGCCCTCTGATTCTCCTGTCTGGTCCATTCATGGTCAGCAGTTGATCCCAAATTTTGGCAGAAACATAATAATATAAAGTCGATAACTCTTGAATAGCTACTGCCTTTAGCTATGTGCAGTTTTGACTAACTTCATGCTTCATTAACCGCCCTGTCAAAGTCAACAGGTTTTGCATACCTGCAAAGTTACTCATGAAAACTTAGGGCAGAAGAAAAGAACAGTGTAAGAATAAGAGACTATGGTGTCCCACAACTCAAAGTTATATTAAATTTGAGGTGTGTAGCTTCTTGTTAATATTATATATATTTTCTCTATAATTTTTCATTATCATAAATCATAATCAACTAGTGATGGCCTTTATTTTGACCCCCAGCCTCAAACTTTTGCAGATTCCCATCACAAAAAACTTTAAATGGAGAAGCTCAGCTTTTGTTAATCTTGTGTTATTTATTATTATACTTTGTTTTTTCCCACTCAGTCAGTTATAGACAGTCTCAAACTATGGGTCAATTTTTAAAGGCAGGCATGGCTCAAGAGTTTGTTAATCTTTCTTGTCATAGGTCCAGTGAGGAAAAAGAACATAAACTAGTTACAATTCCAGCATTTTTCATACTCATCTTCATCTACAGCCTACAATAACCAAAACTGAGTAGGCCTGTTGTCAGATAATCTATCCCATAGCTTCAAAAGCTGTTTTGATAACCACCATCGGATTCTATTGTGCCCTAGAATTCTATTATGACAGAAGAGTTGATCAGAAAGCAACAGTTCTGTGGAGCAGGAAGTGTGAGGTTTGGATGTTGGTAGTTTTTTGGCACCAGAATGAAAATTAGAGCTGCCAAATGCTTGGGGGAAAACAAAACAGAAAAAAGAAAACAAAAAGCTACTTATTTTGTAATAATTCATCACTATAGTGAGGCTGAAAAAAGAGGAGATATATCAGTCTCAGAAGAGCTCAGTTCCCAGGTATGCCTAGTAACTAACCAGATGGCTAGTTAACAAAGCACCAGCTAATATTTAAACCCTTTTAACATTCTTCACAGCAAAATATTAGACAAGAATGACACATTCTCGTCAGGATTTTGGGAGAACCCACAAATTCATGAACAGGTTCAACAGGAATTTTCTCCTTTGAAAAAGATACTCTCATGTCCTGTACTACACAGAAGTAATTGACTTTTTTGCATAGAGTAAAGGGGCAAGGTGTAACTTTTTTTGAATGATTTTGAATGATTTATTGAGCATTTTATCAATTAATAGCAGTGCAAAAGAGCATTTGCCCACGTAAGAAATTGTTGTTAGTGTGTTCAAGTGAATGTGAATTTGTAGTTTGTCTTTGGGTGATCATAACCAGAAATTTGTTCCTTGGAATCATCCATGTAATAATTGTTCATCTCTGAACATCAGGAACTTAACATCTCCATTCAGCCAAACTCTATTTCCATTATTGTCTATTTTTTTGAAAGCCATATCAGAGTTAGTTAATTTTATAGTATGAAAATCAAATTTAGAGCTTCAGATGTTTGCAAAAGGGAAGTAGGAGAGCAAACATCTTGTAACGGGATGGAACATGTTTGTGACAGGATTGAGTCTAAAATGCATTCCTGCCCCCCATTAAAACTGGCATTTTTCCAGGTATTTCAGGAGGGAAGTAGGGATGTATCAGAGATGATATTGCATTTTCTTCTGTTTATGGGGTATCCTTGAATTGTGAGACTTTTATACCTAAGACTTTGAAAAACACTTTTGTTTACTTGCTTTTTTAGTTCATTGGCATTAACAAGCTTCTCTAATACTCAGGTGGTGAATTCCATATCAGAATGGTTTCTAGTAAAAAATTATGAGCCAGATCTTAAGCTGCTGTAAATGAATATAGTTCCATTAGCCTTAGTAGAGTTATACAGAGTTACAGCAGGTTTCCTGAAACAGTTTCAAAAGTAATTTCAAAAAAAAGGGCAATGGAGTAATTCAGAGTTTTTCATATACATAGTATTTTTTCACTCATATTTTATAAACACTTACTATTATATGACCTATATTTAGTCAAACAACATTGCTTCAAAATGAAATACTCCTTTCTGGGATGAATTGTTACAGTTGAAAAGATGCAGCATCCTATAATGGGGCCTTATAAAAGTTGTCATTGTGACAAGGTTCACTCTGAACATGGGAGGAAATATGGTGTCAGGCTCTTACCAGAAGGAAAATTCCTCGTGGTTTGGTTTGTGGGGGTTTTTGCAAGTTTTTTTTCAAAGGCTTTTAGGAAGCATTTGCTCTTTTGAGGGGAGGAAAAAAAAAGAGCCAAATATCACTGTAGCACCAGTTGTTGGAGTTTCCGATGCTTGTATTTCCTCTGCAAGATATTTTTAAAGTGTTACATAATTGGTTTTTTGAGTTTTTGGGTTTTTGCATTTGTGGCACAGGAACTCTTTTCTCAGTAATGTATGTGTGTGCTACATGCACTTTGCTAACATTCACTGCCACTCCTCTGACCTCAGAAGAGCTGTGCCTTGCTTCCAGTACTGCCAAAATGAGCAAAACCAACAGGTTGTGCCCAATCTGGTACTCTTGGATCTTGCATAACAGGGTGCATTTATATCAGCTAGATATGAAACATGCTCACTCGTGCTGTGACAGATCCTGATGAAAGTGATCCTGCAATCTCCACCCTGGCTGGCATGGCCACAGTCCAGCCCGCAGTGAAAGGCAGAGCTTCCAGCCACCTCTGTGGTCCCAGGATTAGCAGGGGGAACAGCTGATTTGCTACAGCCCTGATTTGCTCATGGTTCCCACAGCCCTTCTGGCACCTGACAAGCAGAGGAATGAATGGGTGCCCTGAGGCAGGTGGGAGACAGCAGCCTCGTTTCCTTTGCCACAGAGGAGCCTTTTGACTCAGGGGAAATACCTAGGTAGGCACATCCCAGGAACATTAGATATGTTGTATGGCCAGAGCATTGCAAACTCAGTAAAATTGACTGAGGTATCAACCAGTCTCTAAAGATGTTGCAGAGTACAAGGGGTTCCCAGTGGAAGCAGTGGAGAGCCTGTCCTGATATGAAAAAGAAAGTTGGCTGAATCCTAGTCTAAGAGAGTGAGTGCTGGGTTACTTAATTGATCTTTAGCCTTAAATTTTGTTGGTATTAGAGAGGTTTTTTTGTTTTGTGGGGGTTTTTTTCCCTTCCCATAGGATAATGGGAAGTGATTTTTAAACCCTTATAAAATGGTTTCAAGAATAAAATGAAAAGCGATGAAAAACTACTTGTGCTTTTCTATGAACTCTTGTTCTGGAAGGTCAAAATAGACTAAAATAAATCAGAAAGAGTATGTCTTGGCTTTGACAGCCAAAGTCCTTTGGATGTTTAATTTCACTGGCAGGTGTTGTATTAAGAATCAGCAGAGAAGCTTCTTACTACAGGGGATAGATTGCTTTTACAGCAAGGAGTGGGGGTACACACTCAGACAGGGCAAATGTCACTGTAAGCAATGGGTTGGCACTAAACATCTGCAGAATTGGGTTCTCAGTGACCCAGCTAAATCTTCAACAGTTGTTTTTCATATTATGTCTGCACTCTGGCATAGCAACAGAGCAGCAGCACTGGCACTTGTTGAGTACAACATTTTATATCCTGCTGCCTGAAAGAGCATGGTTTTAGTGGTCTACAGATGTTTAGGGTAAGATATGTAAAGAGAGCAAATTGCT